GCGGGGAGCCTGCTTCTCTCCCTCTGCCTCTGCCTCTCTCTCTCTCTCTCTCTCTGACTTTCATGAATAAATAAAAAATAAATAAATAAATAATAAATAAATGAAATACATGGAAAAGGCTAAACTCACCCATTTACCAATATTTGCAAGACCAGGATTTCTATCTGCTCATGGAAGTCCTTTTCTTAAACAGGGTACTAATAAGGCCAGCACATCCCATTCCACATGTGCTCTTATCATTTTTAGATGTGCCCCATAATCTAAGTTAACAACTATATGAATGTGTGCTGTAGGTCATGACATCAGCTAGACATGAGAGTATGAAGGGATAACCCACATCCATTACTGTCCATGGAGCCAGTCCTATCTCTACTAATAGTCTGTATAGCTACTGCTTCCAGAAATGTTACTATGTGCCAGGCACTGATTCTAAGTGCTTTGTATATCCTAACTCATTGTTACTATATTCTAATAATAACCCTAGGAGCAAGGCACAGATGAGTAAACTGAGACACAAGGAGGTGAATCAATTTGCTTCAGTCTGTGCCTTAGCTCTGAGAGCTGCCATAACAAAATACCATGAAGTGGGTGGCTTAAAAGCAGAAATTTATTTTCTGACAGTTCTGGAGGCTGGAAGTATGAGGTCAGGGTGCTAGTGGGGTCAGGTTCTGGTGAGAGCTCTCCTCCTGGCTTGCAGATGGCTGCCTTCTCACTGTTTCTTCGCAGGCAGAGAGAGCTACAGCAAGCGGTCGGTATCTCTTTTTATGAGAGCACTAATCCATCGTGAAGTCCCCACCCTCATCTAAGGCCAGTGACTTGTCGAAGGCCCCATCTCTGAATACCCTTACATTGGGGGTCAGGGCTCTAACATGTGAATCTGGGGGAGGGGGGCACAGTTCAGTCCATGGTAATACACAGATGGTGAGGGCAGAACAAGGACTTGAACCCAGAGTCTAGCTCTAGAAGACATTCACTTGATCATTATGCCATATTGCCTCCTTATAAGCTACGAGAGTCCATGTTATCACTTTTTATATACAAATAACTACCCGTATTTACAGCTTAATTTTCATTCATTTTAATTCTTTTTAAAAACAACACTTTTGGTACCAAGTACTCTAACATTCAAATCGGCGAAATAGAAACTGTCTCAACAAACAGTATTTAATACAGGGAATTGGTTACGTAAGTGTTGAAGGGCTGAAAAACACTATTACTACCACCTTCTTATATAAATATTTTTTCTGATACAGCATTGCTTTTAAATGAACATTTTGCTTTGACACTTCGAATGCAAAATTACTTCCCTGTATTATGAATCTATACATATTATTTTATTTTATTTTAAAGATTTTATTTATTTATTTGACAGAGAGAGATAGCGAGAGCAGGAACACAAGCAGGGGGAGTGGGAGAGGGAGAAGCAGGCTCCCTGCTGAGCAGGGAGCCCGATATGGGACTCGATCCCAGGACCCTGGGATCATGACCTGAGCTGAAGGCAGACACTTAATAACTGAGCCACCCAGGTGCCCCTATACATATTATTTTAGATTCCCCAAATTCTAAATATTCTGTTTTATTATGTATGTCTCTGCTTCCTTCCATTACTTTGGAAGACATGGAGAAGTTACCTAGGATAAATGGTGCATGCCCCCTCTAAATGTAGTTTGAGAGCAGCTTCAATTCATAATATAAAAGCACATTCTTCAGATTCACAGAATGTTTAAACCAAATTGCATCTAGAACTTATACTAGTAGATATGAAAGAAATACATGGTAATAATGAAATGGCTTCTTAATACCAACTGCTATGAATGTCTATTACATTCATAAGAAATATCTTCTTCCTAAAATTTAAATTTATTTCTCTTAGTAAGCCTCACTATGAAATGTGGTAAGAAGCTACATGTCCCATTCCAGTACTATTATATGATTCAGCCTTTGTCTGGGCTCAGTATGTGTTAGTAGATTTATAAACTCTTAAGACATTTTTGATACTCTGCCATAAAATCATATATATATTCATTCATTTTATATATATAAAAATCTCAGCCACTTTTACAAAAGTCAGTTCCCTAGTAGAATTTGTTTTGCATTAACCAAAGGTTTTTCAGGCTGAAATGTAAACCTGCTTCATTGGCATAAAATCCCTCTGAGATATTTTAGTATATACTTCATTTGTATTACATATTTTTATTCTTGGTAAAAATAGAAGCACTGAATTGTAAACGCTCCTTAAGAGTTGATATATAGTACTGCATAAACTAGATGGCTATTAAAGCTAAATTTACATTTTTAAATTACCAAATGCCTTTGGTAGAGGCTTTAAAATTCTGAACATGTAAACAGTGTTACCAGTACAATATAGGCTCCTGGGTTCATAATTTGATTTTATTTCTCATTTATACTGTATCTATAGCTAATTGTTTTTAAAATAAATATAATGTATAGTGATGATCAATGGTATTGACTTTAATTTTGCATGCCAGTTCTGTAAGTGTTTTTGTTTTTAATATGCATACTTTCCTATGGAAGAATAATGTTGAATCTTTTCAGAATTTCCTACATTTAAACAAATATTAAATACTACATGGTAATTGTGATAACATAGGTATTTTTAACGGTGCTGTTTTGGCTTTTTTTCCTTCATAGAGCAATTCCTTCCTAACCTGAATTCCACTGTCCTTGGTGAAAACTACTTTGATAGAACCTACCAGATGCTTTACCTTTTGGTTAAAGGAACTATACCTGTTGAAATCCACACCACTGCAGTCATATTTGTTTCTTTCCAATTACCTGCTGTAACAGAAGATGACTTCTATAGCTCTCATAATCTGGTTAGAAATCTTGCCTTGTTCCTAAAGATACCAAGTGACAAAATCCGTGTCAGCAAAATAATACCAGGGGAGAGTCTGCGAAGGAAGAGATCGATGGGACTCACAGTGGAATTGGAGATTGGAGATCCTCCTCCTCAGTTCATAAGCAATGATACTGCAGGTATGAAGAGTAGACATTTGAGTTGGAAGAACGTAATACCAGATCCACATTCACAAATAACCCTATCAGGGCCTGGTAAACCTGGGCTCAGGAAGTCCCGCCAACCCCATATCCTGAACCCTGTAAGGGCCTAGAGACCCTTCTCCCTACTCTACTCCTGTAATCCCAAACTATTTTGGAATTATGAAGGAATTTTAGCCTCTATTTCATTATTGTAGCAATTAGTAAATTCAACAAGAGGATTTGACCTAATATAAAAGATTTGAGAGGTGACCTAAGTAATTGAGATTATAGCTGAGAGATTAAGCATAGTCAGTCAATGAAAAGAGGAAGGTAAGAATGTTCAAGTTTACGGAAATAGTTGGTGGAAGCGGGACATAAGAAGAACTGGAGAAGGTCTCACTGGTCTGTGGTGGCAGGAGCCAGGAAGGGCAAGCTACTGGAGGTGAAATTGAGAATTAGGCAGGTCCTACCTAGATCATGGGAAACCAAAAGAAGCTCTTTTCTTCCTAAGCTAAAAGGACTGTGGATATTTTCCTAAGGAAAAGAGTAGACCGTTGGAGATTCTGAGTTGTAGTAAAGTCACAGATTTACCCTAACAAATGCAAATGTGCAGGAATATCTTCTATCTTTAATTCCTATGACTGATCCAATCAGTGTCACCAGCTGTCCCACTTTTCTCTGTCCCTCACTCTCCATATCCCCATTTTCTAGTTATCAGAGACAAAAATAAGCTCACCTGTCTCATCAGAGGTCTTTGCCTCTTTAAATTATTTCCTTAGAGTGACTCAGTTAGAGCATTTAGGTAAATGCTCAGCCCTTCAAATTTTTTCCTTTCTACCTGCTTAAGTTGGTATCGGAATACCAAGACCCCCACATTGCCTCTTGTTTTCATAGTCTCTGCTACAGGGTAGGGGGTCTTCTCTGCTCTTCTCTGCCCTGCACAAGCCTGTCTTGAGGTGCAGCTGAACTTTCCTGGCCTCTTGGCATCCATCCCCAGCATGCATTCCCAGCCATGCCTCCAGTAGTCAAGCACAAGTCTTAACTAGGCACACCCATCTCCAAAAAAATGAGACCTAGATCCGTGTCAGAGGAAGATTACCATCCAGCTAACGAAGCTTAAGCTTCAAGGCCTTTCACTTGTACAAGTCACGGGAGGGGCCTGGGAGAAGGGTCCATTTAATAATATGACCCAATCATTGTTACTATAAAAGTTGCAGAAGTAAGACTTTTCCTCATTCTTTTTCTTAAAGAGAGCCTCCAAACTGTATAAATTTCAGATTCATAAAAATCTGCATCTGCCTTATCTCTCTTCAGCATCTTTTTCCTTAACGCCTGGGGCTCTCTTACATGTCACCCTGGATACTGGGTGAAGTTCTCGCCTTCTGCTTTTAGGGGTCATCACTCATGACCCCAGGAGGTTTGCTTCCAAGGATTGACCCAGTGCACCTGCCACATACTGTTCTGGAGTTCTACCAGCTAGGCAGACAGAGGTTCTTCCCTTATAGAAGTAAGCCTGTGGAAAGGCTTTGTGGAGTGGAGGGAGATGCTGATCAACTCTCTTTGTTGAAGGAAACAGGAAGTATAGGCTTGTGTTGTAACGAAATCTCCCATGATGTTCTCTACCCAGTCATAGGTTACTTTCCTTCATCAGCTCCATACTTCCTAGTACTTAGAGGGTCATGGCTTTTGACTCAACACAGTCAGTTCATTTATTCTAGGAGTTTTAATGGTTCCATGGTACATGTATAGATGGTTCACCAACTCTTAGAAATTCCTAGTAAGCCCTTACATGTAGTGGGGTCCTGTAAGGCCATGTAGCCACTCAGATGTCCAAAGAAACTGACTTATTTCCTATATGTGATCTAAATTTCTTCATGCACGACCTCTTCCATCTCCTTGCCCCCTTTAAGCAGTTTTATTTTGTTAGATTTATCCAGACTGGTATAAGACAGTCTAAGAACTTGGAGATGGGGGCAGTCGGAGGGACAGGCTAATGGCATGTTTCTCAGACATATTCTGGGATAGGGTTTCAAATCTCAAGAATGTCCTACAACTTGGCATAGAGGGATTTCACAGCAAAATATCGGGCATTGGCAAGGAAGATGTGCATGTAGTAATACTGCTTGCTGGCTCTCCACAGCCTTTGCATGGGTCAGGGTATCCTGGCTTTCCCAGATTCATAGAAAGGGGTTACTGAAGTACTGAGGGGACCTCTGGATAAACAGAGATTGGTCAGGAGTAAAAACTCTTCAGGTTAAGGACTTTGGTTTCTTAAGGTGGCAGTCAGCAGAAATGGATGCCTTCACATGTCAGGTAGTCGGAGAAAATCTGTTAACAGTGCAGGCAGGTCAGACCCGCCACGTTGCACCAAAAACCAGTGAGGACAAGTGGTAGTAGCAGTCAGTGGATATGAAGCCTCTTTGTACCTGCTGCTGCTAGGTCACATGAGCCCTCATATCTGGAAAGCCATTTGGAGAAGAGTATATGGAAGGGGGGCGAGGGGAGGGAGAAGAAGAAATCTGAAAGATTAATCATTTGTCCAGAGGGTCTGAGTCAGCCAAAAGAGATGTGTTAAACTGACAGGACGGAAATTCCCTAAGACCATGATTTTCAAAGTGTTATGTGAGATCAGCTGCCTCCTTCTTCCTGAGCACACTAAGCTTCATGGTTTAGCCTTAATGGAGGAAATGCAATGCGCATGGTCCTCAAGGCAGGCCTCTGGATATAGAAGGTGCTGGATAACTAGGTAGGAACTGTTGTCAAGGCTTACAGTACACCAAAAAGATCCTGGATACAGTTGTTTTTTAAAAGGTCTCTCGGACTACAATGTATAGAATGGAGTGAAAGAAGGACAGAATGGATGCAAGAAAACCAGTATAAAAGTTGTTTTAGTAAATGATGGCTTTGACTAGGATTTAGACAGTGGGGACAGAGAGATCTAGAAACTGTAACTGGTTATATGGTGTGGAGGAGAGATGAAGTAGAAGAAGGGATCAGGCAAAAGTGCCAGGCTCTGACAAATGAGTATGATGAATAGAGGTGCCACTTCTTAGGTACGGAGCACGGTGAGGCCAGTAAGTGTAAGAGGGCCTGCCAAGCTAGACAAAGACAATAGAAATGGCCTGTAGTGTTAAAATTAACTTTGAAATTTATCCACATCTAGAGCAAGCAACAATTTGTGAATAATGTAGTGTTAACTTCAGAACTTACTAATACACATTGTGTAAATTCGATGATGCTAATTATTCTTACACTCCAAAATTAAAACTCTCTTTTTAAAAAATGGTACGTGATGATACACTTGCATGATGGTGCTTTACTCCTCAATAAAGAATGGCATGGGAAAGGATTAAATTAAAAGACGTATATTTTTCCACTAGGCTTTCATTCACTTTATTTTATCTACCTTTGGTTTTTCTTTAATTACAGCTTAAAAACATATTCTACTGAGTTCTTCATTTTCCTAAGCTCATTCAAAGGACTTTGTCATATTGAGCTCATAGGTGGTGAAAAAGCTACAGAATTCCAGAATGTGGATGGAGCTGTGCAAAAAAAAAAAAAGAAAAAGAAAAAGAAAAACTCTCACAATCCTATATTCTTATTTTTTTGAAGATTTTATTTATTTGAGAGAGAGAGACAGAGCATGAGCATGAGCAGAGGGGAGAAGACAGAGGGAGAAGCAGACTCCCCGCTGAGCAGGAAGCCCGATGAGGGACTTGATCCCAGGACCCTGGGATCACGACTCGAGCTGAAGGCAAACGCTTAATGGACTGAGCCACCCAGGCGCCCCACAATCCTATATTCTTATAACCCATATGCGATATTACTGTTTCCCCATAGGTCAGATGCAGTTATCTGAACTCCAAAAAATCGCTGGCTCTCTTGGACAAGCTGTAATTACAGGAAAAACCAGTAGTATCCTTGGGTTTAATATCTCTTCCATGTCTATTACCAATCCTATCCCCAGCCCAAGTGATTCTGCCTGGATTAAGGTAAGAAAAGGCAACTAGAAAAATGCATCTTAGCTATTTAAAACATTGCTGCTTATTTCTTCTTTTAACTCTTTATAGTTCAATACAATAATTTAGAGGGCATGTCTTCCTAATTAATGTTGGCTCGCTATTTAATGGTATAACTAAAATGATAAAATAGTTGAAAAAGGAGCATATCTGCTAAAAAATTATTTATTGGTATGAAATGTGCTTTGCTTTGAATATTTATAACAATGCTTCATGAATCTGGTCCAGAGGAAATATTGTAATAAAATTATTTCATATATTGGACATATTTTTATGCTTATTACTACATATTATACTTAGCCTAGCTAAGATGAATTTGCTCCTGACTAATTTATCATGTGAAAACCACTTCATCACTCATGACCATTGATTTCCAGGTGGCCGCTCAACCAGTTGAAAGATTTGCATTTCCTGTTCATCATGTGGCCTTTGTGTCCTCGCTGTCAGTGATCACTCAGCCGGTTGCCGCTCAGCCAGGACAGCCATTTTCTCAGCAGCCTTCAGTAAAGGCAGTAGATTCTGATGTAAGTTCTAACTCAAAGCTTTAGTTGAGTGAAGAAGTTAAGCTATAAATCTTGGAGAGTGGGCCAATTTCAGTAATCCTGGTCCGCTGGCAACACTGGCAACTTAAGGGTGACACTGCCCCTTAAAAGCTGGACTGATACCTATGGATATAATCTTCCCCTGTTTTGAAAATGTTCCTTTTCAGTGGACTTGTTCCAGTGCCCACCCATATTCGTGAACTCCTTGGGTAGGGAGAGAAGCTCCTGCAGATTTTAAATTTGTCATGAGGCATTTTTAAAAATGAAGTTTCACACATCTTAAAAAAACAAACAAACAAACAAACATGGGAACAGGACAATTAAAATTCTCTACTACTTTTTTCTTTAGGGTAATTGTGTATCAGTTGGGATTACTTCACTGACTTTGAAGGCCATACTAAAGGACTCCAATAATAACCAAATCAGTGGTCTGAGTGGAAATACAACAATTCCATTTAGCAGCTGTTGGGCCAACTACACAGACCTTACTGTACTTAGAACAGGTGAGAATACTATTTTGGACCTTCACATATATATCCATAAACAGGGACAATTATAATTGAACAAAGCATTCTATAATACTCTGGTTAATAAATTAGACAAATTGGAACACTATAGGGGTGCCTGGGTGGTGCAGTCGGTTAAGCCTCTGACTTTTGGTTTTGGCTCAGGTTGTGATCTTATGGTTGTGAGATCGAGCCCTGCATCGGGCTCCGTGCTTAGCACGGAGTCAGCTTGAGACTCTGTCTCCCTCTCCCTCTGCCCCTCCTGCTCGTGCTCTCTCTCTTTCTCTCTTTCTCTAAAATGAATAAGTAAATCTTTAAAAAAAATCGGAACTCTCTATCTTGTTTCAGAAAACATGTCAGATAACATCTAGTTTACAAAAAATATTTAATATGCAAAACAAAATAGAATTAAAACAAGCAATTAAGGAAAATAAACATAATCTGAGGCTATGCATTAAAATTACATCATGATTTATATTTTTATCCATTTGTGTACTTTTGTATATTTTCACTAAATATGCATTACATTTATAATGAAAACAGTTAACATATAGATTTTCAAATTAAAGATAAGGGAGGATAAGATAGGCTCATATAACTTGAATGCCCCATGCAAGAGTTCAGAGTTGGACTGAAAAGTGGGTTCTAGTCTTTCTGAAAGACAATGCAAAGGAGAAAACAAGCATTATCATGATTCCACGGTGCCCATCAGGTAAACAAACCAGTTGTTGTGGAGACTTACAACTAGCTCTGAGATCAGAACAAATGTCTCCTATGAGTTCTCATAAAGTATACCCAATGAATCTGCATGAAGTGATATCTTCAACATTACAGTAAATAGTCATAACTTCCATTGTGATGTTTCTTATATTGTCTTCATATGGGTTGATAGCATAACTTCAATTGGTAAAAGCCTTTCTACTGAGCCCAAGACAGATAGTTTGTAGAATATCTATTGGTGATAGATTGTAGAGTATCTAAAAGAGAGAAGTGGATAAACTGCTTATCCCTGAGACAGACTTCCATTAATCTGTTTACCATTCATCTGGGCTCATTTAAGACCTTTATAGGACCTAACTTCTGAAAAGTTATATTGGTACTTACTCCCCACTTCTTACCACTGTTCTCTCTCATATATATATATATATACTAAAAGTCAAAATAAAAGTAAAAAGAGTAAAATAAAAGAAATTCCAACAATAGCCTGATTTTTTCATATTAAACACGTATCAAAAGCTCAAATCATTCCCCTAAATATTTTCCTTATTTTTTGTTTTTTCTTGCTTTGGTGATCCCCTAAACCACACAAGTTTGGTCTGCCTGCTAGGCACCAGTGTCTCAACCTGGTGTTTGATGGGACTCAGATGGCAATGAGTCCATAGTTGTGCTCCTAGACAAGTAGTTAGAGTGTCCTATACACTGGCTGGTTAAGGGCAGAGCCGAATTCTTTGAGAGTCAGCCTAAATGGTGGGAGAACTGGGATCCTTTTCTGTGAAATGAGGAACTTAACAAGAACCCTAGGTGAGAAGAAAGTTGTCCACTTCCCCATGAAGGTGGACCCAAAAGGTACCCAGTGGAAAAGACCCAACCCGGAGACCATGTTCTTCAAACTACCGCTTCCAAATAGCAATGTTCCAAAATAACCAAGATCACTGGAGTGCTGAAATAATTATATAGGCTTTGGTGTTTTATTGTGATAACAAAATATCATTCTCCTTTTATAGAGTAAATTTTCCTTCATCGTTCAAAGCTTCCCTTAGTGTGTCTATCTGACCTGCCACGGTGAACCGCCATTGCTTCTAATCTCTTGCTTGCTTGCTTGCTTGGCCGCTGTCTTACTTTCTTACTGCCATCAAGTGTAGGGTCTCAGTTCCCTGGTTGTGTATAGTAAGGAAGACAAATATAGTCTTCTCTTCATTATCTTTAGATCAGTTAGCCAGTTTGTAGATTAACCACTATAAAATTGTAATAACAACAAAGTACATGAGAAAAAATTAACAAAGCATCATTTTTGTAACTCTTTCTAGTAGGTAGCCCCCCAGTTACTGCATGTGGGAAATCACCTTGCAAATTAGACTGGAGCCTGACAGTGTGGTCCCACACCCTCTTCTACTAATAGCTCAATAAAAAGCAAAGCAGGGGCCACCCAGACACAGGAGGTATGGGTTGTTGTTTCTAACACAGAAAATGGGGATGTGAGAATGAGGTGAGAAAAGGGTAGAAGAAGAAGAAAGTAGTAAACAGCTGAGGCTGCATCTTTGGTCAACCTGAATAAAAATAGTATTACTACTGGATAATCATATTTAGGATGTGTTTACCTAGCAATCTATATGATATACAGTGCTTGTTTCTGTTCTTATTGATACATAACAAACCAGCCCCAAATCTAATGACTCAATCAACAACCATTTCACTTGCTCACAATTGTATGGGTCAGGAATTTAGGCAGGGATGGCTCCTGTCTGCTTAATGATGTCTGGATTTTTAACTGGATTAGCTTGATTGAAGTCATATCCCCAAGGTTTTGATTCTGGGTTTTAGCTGGGTTCCTCAGTTCTCCTTCATGGAGTACATCTCCAAGACAAGGTTCTCTTGAGCTTCCTCATAGTACTGCAGGAGAAAAAAAAAAAAACCTAAATTTTTTACACAGAAAAATCATTAAGAAAAATTCTGCAAAAATTCACTTTTTTTCAAACTGAAAAAAGGAAAGACTTAAATATGCCATTGTCATGGATTGTAATGGTGGCAGAAAATTCTATAGAACAATGACCATCCATCTTGAAAGTTATAGAATGCATTGCTGTTGTTTGTGAAAGCACAATGTGGTCAAGATCTAATTATATTCTCTGAGAGAGAGAGAGAGAGAGAGAAAGAAGGAGGGAAAAAAAGAAACAAAACAAATGATTTTTTAAGGTAATAGAGAGAGGAATGAAAACCTCAGCATTGTGACAAGGATTGCAAACTCTATGTGGTAACCACTATTGATGATAGCAATTAGTCCTAGAAGAAATTATATCAAGGAAAAATGTATTGCTTATCTCATGTTCAAAACTGTGGGAAGATTTAACTTATGGATTAAAAAGTATTTAGATGAGCTTTTTATGTTTCACACTCTAAAAATATCTAACAAGTTTCCTCAAACTTGTCTACCTGAGGTAAGAAGAAAGAAAGGGTCACAATCGTGCAACACAAAAAAAGCATCTGACTTAAGGGAAACGTGGAAAGCAGTAAAATTGCTGAAACAAAGTGGAGGGCATATGGGTGTTTGTTGTACTGTTCTTTCAACTCTTCTGTATGTTTGAAACTTTTCAAAATAAAAAGTTCAGTATCCATCCTCCTCTCCCCCAACTGAGGCTGAGGCTTCTCTACTCCTAGGTCAAGTATCCAGGGATGGAACAAAGGCTCAGCATCTTCATTTCCCTTCCCTATTGTCCCTCCTTTCCAGCAACCTCTCTCTAGTCCTGGGCACTAAGAAGGCATCCCTAAGGAGCAAGTACTGATGCTACAGAAAGAAAATCTACCCAGATTCCGCCTGCCCATAGTGGATGGGCAAATGGAACTCTAACTCTGAGATCTTCTTTACACTTGTTTATACTTAAACTAATCTACTTGGGCTCAATTTACAAAAATACTTCATGAGGAATTATATAGGATTTTTAAGTCAATGAAAACCCAACTGGGACTGTGTGAAGACAAATCATAAAAGGAAGTCAAATTCTCTGATGGTTTTCCTTCCTAGGAAAAAATTGTAAGATTGAATTTATACTGGATGATGCTGTCCGGGTGGAATCCGGGCCCCTGAGCCTCCCAGCACAGTCTGTGTCCAGTGGCGGTGGTGACAGCAGCAGTGACCGGGCGTCAGCTGTGGGCACAACTGCCCAGATAATGGCTCCAGTGATTTGCTGTCTGATGGGAAGAGTGTTGCTCTTGGAAGCATTTATGGCCACAGTTTTGATTTTGAACATACATCTAGGTAAGCGTAGTTCATCTTTTTTGTAATGTACGTCTCCACATACTGAGGTTCCAGTAAACGTTTACTGAAGAGAGACCGAGGGCATGACCACCATGCATGGCACCACTGGGAACACAGAGACAAGGTCTTGGCCATTGAGAAAGTAATTGCTTCCGTGCTAGAGGTGAGATGACCCTACAGGAAATGCCATTCACATTACACAGTGGCACATGGGAATGTGGGGAATGGGAAAGGAATGTTGGACTCTTTCAGTTACAAGGGGCAGAAGCTCAGCTCGAATTGGTTTAGGCAGTGAAGTGAATCTCATTCAACTGAGAAGTCCAGTCGTAGTGTGGATTTCTGCTGTAGCTAGACCTAAGGACTCACATGATATGATCCAAAACTTGTGTCTCTCCATCTCTTGGCTCCATGATCCTTGGTGGTCAATTCACGCACAGGCAGACTAGACTCTCTACTACCACCCCCCACCCCAGACTCATGCAAGGGTACCACCTGTGTCTTCATGTACTTTCTACCAGCCCAGTAGCTAAATGCAGAAAGAGCAAACCTCTTTCTCAACTCTTTCAGCAAAATCCCGAAGCAGTATCATTGACCTAGCTTGGTCACATGTCCATTCTTGGGCCAATCACTGGGGCCACCAGATCCTCTGTTCTAATTAGCCTGGCCTGGCCCACATGGAGGGAAGTTCTGGGGATGGTGGAGATGTGGTTCCACAAAGGGAATCCAAATGCTAGTACCAGCACTGCAGGCAGACAAAGATGGTGACTATTAGGGAGGTTCAGAGGAGGGCGATGTCCCTGTGGGCGACGATGATTGGGATGACTGTTGGTGTCACCCCATCAGCAGCAGGACTTTACAGACAGGATTATAAAAGATGAATGAAATGTGGAAATGGAAGGAAAGGTACTCCAGAACAGGGGCATGATAGGAGCAAAGCAAAAAGTGGGAGTGAAAAAGGACATCTTTGACTATCCATGTTCAGCATGAATTCTTCATCTCTTCCTTCTAAAGGTGCTTCTTCCTGCTGCCTCATCCCAGTTAGTGCCAATGTCGTCCTTCTCATCTCTCAGGCTGATACTTCTTAGACTTCTCTCTTTCCTTCAAGCTCCACATCCCTTCAAGGTGCTCTGGGGCATCAATCTCCATCCATAATGTCACGTATCTGTTCCTCCTTTAAAGTCTTGCTGCTCCACTTACAAATTTTTCCTTTTTTACTTACTTGACCTATTACCGTAGCCTCCTGGATTCCCTGCTTCTAAACTTCTCACTTTCAGCCTAGCTTCCATATTGCTGTCATACTTATCTTCCTAAAGCACAGGGTCATGCAGTAGTATGTCGTGTCAAATCCTCGAAGATTCCTTACTACATGCAAATTACAATCAACCCCAGAGTCCCTGAAACCAGTCTTGAAGACTGCCTCCTGTGCCAAATCATTCCTAGAGAAGATGCTTGCTGTCCCACATATTCCCTCCATCTTGGCTTTCCTCTACTCACCAGATCTGCTTTTCATGGCATGCTGCCTGGCCCTGCTCAAAATCTCCCTCCTCCATCAGGTTTCTCTTCTTCCATCCCTCTCTGTGATACATGTAATGCTCCTTTCCCTTGTTCTCCAGTTGTGCTTTGTTTATACCGTTATTTTGGCCTTTCCAGTGGTATACATTTATTAGACTTAGACATCTTCAAATCTATCTTCCTTACTAAATTGTGAGCACTCAGAAGATAAGACTACAAGCCATATTTATTATAGGTGCTAAAAATGAGATTTAATTGATTTTTAACTCTCAAAAGGGGAATAAAGCCTCCTTGCTACTGAGGGGGAAATGATGAGTAGGGGTATTATAGGCAAATTGTAAAAAGCTTTGATTGGCAGATACTGATCAATTTGCAGTTGATCTAATGGAGGGAATGATGGAGAGCTTCTGATAGATTAATGAAATGAAAGCATCACTTTAAAAATACTGATAAGATTTAAGAAGTTGAAAACAGTTCTGGAGATTGGTTGCATAGCAGTGTGAACATATTTAACACTACTGAACTGTCCACTTTAAAAATGATTAAAATTTTATGTTCTATGGATTTCACCCCAATTAAAAATAAAAAAAAATAATCATTATTGATCTATATAGAACCAATACAGATCTCCAAATATCAAAAGAAGATAAATGTCTTAAGTTATGAGATACCTAGTTAGATTCTTATATTTGAGTAAAAATCAAAGTTAAAAGAAGGATGTAAGAAGAATTTGAGATGGGGTAGTACTTTAAAAGGATACTGAAGAATTTCGAGGAATAAAAGCTAAGACTAGATTTTAAATTTAAATATAGGTAAGGTCAGGATGAAGGGATACATCAAGGCTGGTTCAAGAGTGGCAGAAAAAACTGGAGGTGGGGGGTTTCAAGAACAGTGATCAAACAGAAAGGAATAATCCTTTCTTTCCTCCCAATGGCTGAAGCTAATTAGGAGCCAGCTGTTGAGGGAGAAGTATGGTTTGAAGAGACTCAGTCCTGGCCTCTTATAGCTGAACATGGAAGGGTAGGTTTGGAGCTAAGGGACCATAGGTAAATGACTAGCACACAAGTTATTTTATTTTTATGCAAGTTTTCTTATCTTCAGAATTCTAATAAAAGTAAAACCAGTTGTCCATTTTATAATAGCATTACAGGCATTGCTTAAATTTGTTTCTTTTCAGAAGCATTAAAATATAAAGTGTAAGTACTGCTTACTATATCTTTGTGCTTTTTCTATTTCCTTGTTAAATGCATTGTTTTCTAATTGTCATCACTGACTTTCAGCCTGCTTGTTCCTGACAACTTTGGGATTATATAAAATTCAGAAAATTCTATTTTCAAATCATTAGTAAATGATATTGTTCCTGGCGTTTTCTTTAGGGCTTTTTTCGCCAGACAGAAAAGTCAATAAGGGTCTTCTCCTTGGCTCCTAAATAATCTGTCATTCTCCAATTAAAGCATAAGGTGATTTAAAAACCATAAGGTGATTTAAACACCATTGTCCTAATCCATTTGGGCTGCTGTAACAAAATACCACAGACTGAGTGGCTTATCAACAATGGAAATTTATTTCTCACAGTTCTGAAGGCTGGAAGTCTGAGATCAGGGTGCCAGCACAGTCAGGTGAGGGCCCACTTCTAGGTCACAGACTGCGTCCTCACCGGTGGAAGGGCCTAGGGAGCTCTGTGGGTCTCTTTTGTAAGAGCACTGATCCCATCATGATGGCTCCACCCCCAGGACCGAAGCACCTCCCAAAGGCTCCACCTCCAAATACCATCTCACTGGGTATTAGGTTTTCAACATAGGAATTTAAAGGGAATGCATTCACACCATACTAACTATTAATGAAATGAAAGGCTGGGATTTTTATAACTCTGCATTCTGAATTGACACTATTTTATTTGTAAGATGGTCACAGAGTTCCACTAAATGAAATGACAACTTGAATGTGAAAAATACAAAGTTTAAGCACCACTATTCTCTCTCCCCAGTTCTACAAAAAGAGTGCATTACTGATTCTAAAAGTACACTGGTAAACTTTGAAATACTTATTTTTAAATACTACCTTTGCCCAATTAACCATACCATGAAATACTAGAAATGTTAAATGAATGAAACGTATTTTAAACCACACTGGATGTTACTACTACTTTAAAAAGATATTTGTATTGTTTTCACTTTTCAGGATACAACTAAAGTGCTGTCCTGAAGAACAGGCTGAAAACAAAAATGCTTTTTATGAGCTATTTTGTTGTAGAAGATAAAGTCTGTATAGCATTTTCAAGAAAATAAGCTGGACATATTTTTATAATATATAAAATGTACTAATTAGCTTTGATCACAAAAATCAGATTTCTTCAAAATATAAATTTTCTTTTGATTCCTTGTATTTGTATGTTCTTATTTCATTAAAAAAAACTTTAAGAAGTCCTTGGTGTGGAAGCAGATGTGCCACGTCCAAGTTGCTATACCTACAACTCTTGGAACCCTTTATATTGTTGAAAGAGCTTGTCCAGTTTTGACTTACCCACCCTTGGATCAGATTGGAAGCATTTTGAATTTGTGTACGTACTGGGAGATCTGACTTCCCCTATCCATTCATGAAACTCTGGTTTCCAATGATGTAAGTCATTCTAATTTATAAGGATTTTGGAGAAATGAGATTGTTTTAGACCTTTTTCAGACAAGTTGCTGATTTTCAGATCCATAGTAATCCCGGAAATTCTAGATTGTCCTGGATTTCTGGGCCTGCCAAACCCTGGTCACTATTCTAAGAAGAGTTTTTGTTGTTGCCTCTGGAACAACCTTTGGAACGAGGCCAAACTTTCTCTGCTCACCCTCCGTCCCACTCAAAACTGCCTCTACTAAGACTGTGACTTCCCTCAACTCCATGCTATAACACAAGAGAGACTTATTTTCAAGAGAATACTAAGGGAATGCAAGAAAATAAATTAAATAAGGGACTAAAATAAGGGAATGCAAGAAAAGTCACAATTCATGTAGATAAATTAACCAAAGCTCTCATACTGTAAAAAATTGCACTTTTTACTCAGAAAATCCTAAAGGAACTGCTTAATTTTGAGGAAGAACTCTCAATAAAGGCATTGTAGCCATGTCCAGAGCAAGAAGAGCTGGTACTCAGAAAGTACCTGGTACCTTCCAGCAAGTGACAACTAAGGAAGCATTTGGGAACAGCTGAGAAAATCCAACAAAGCCCAGACCTTTCTCTTCTGTATGCCATTTCCTAGTATATTTACTCCACATCATTGTTAATCGTGCTTAAAAAAAGTATAAACATTTACTGGGTAGCAAATCCAAATATCTGTGTATATATTTGGCATTTTGTTCAAAGAAACATCTATTTAGCATTTACTAGATACCAGGCATTCTAGTGAGAAGACTGCAACAGGGAATAAGATGCTGTCTCTACCTTCTAACAGTTCCTAAGGCAATTGGGGAAATAGTGGTGGACAAAGATCACATTGATACCATATGGTATGTGCAGGCCATAGACAGAGGGTGCTCCAGGGGCACTTGGCTGGGGAGAGGGGCCATCCTGTGAGGATGGAGATCCATGACGCCCAGCTTCCAAAGATGATACCTGAGATGAGTGTTAAGGAATCAAGCATGAGATGAGCCAAGGAAGAGAGTCCTGGCAGGAGGTGTGGTGGCAGGAACGAAGGCTGGGACACCAGTAGATAGTGGGTTCCTTGAAGGCAGCGCACTCCCTTTTTCAGCATTTCTTCCTGCCATGTAAAAAAAAAAAAACATCTAGTACTAGTAGATCCTGATACACCGTTTGGCGGACAAATAAAGCATGGAAGGTGGAGAAATCGACAATGGTCTGATGTTCCTGGAGCACCAATGTGATGTGAGGAAAGGCACGAGGCAGGCTGGAAGGAGAGACAACAGTCTTCTGTGCCATGCCATCAGAAGGGCTTGGACTTATTCTGCAGGTCCCAGGGATGCGGTTTTAACTAAATGATGTATCTCCTCATTTCATAAGATGCTTAAAGTAAGCGAAATTTGAAAGGAACAAGAGAACAGGGAATTAATCCTTCCCATCCAGGGAGGCGGGTGGGGACAATACCAGGGCAAGAAAATAGTGTCAAATACCACGGGTACATCTTTGAAGTTATTTTACCTGTATCCTTCAAAACAGAAATGCTTAAACCTTGATCTGAATTCATTATGTATTTGGTTTGGGAAACTTTTCTGAAACAGGTGAAGGGTCACACCTTTCTTCCGTGCTCATCAGTGGGCATTTTCAGCTTCCTCAGGCTGGCACCAGCTGCCAAACAGGGTTCAACCTCCAGTGAAAGAAACACTTCTCCGGAGAGTAACTACAGACACAATGTGTAAGACTAAAAAAAAAGGACCTGCTGTAGGGGTTACAGTAGGTGTTTGAATACCTGGGGGCACTCTGACCAGCTGTAAGCCTCTTGCCGTCTTACTTATAGGTACTAATATGCTAGTTATCATGATCAGATTATTCTAAAATTAGAAGACTCCCTATGAAAAACCTGCTCTTTCAGGAATTCTGTTCACCCATGACAAGCTGATTTTATTAGGGAAGTTCCTTCAGGTTAAGGGTTGTATATGCTTTTGACTTCTCTTAACATGCTTTGCATACACTGTGCCCACGGTAAATGTTGAAGAAACCGTTTCATTAAACAAATGAATAAGCTGCACGATGAAGCTTTTCCTCTACCAGATTTCTGAGATAAAGTAGTCCTTGCAAAATATTATAGAAATTGCACTTTATCCTGACTTACTGCCTTAACATTTCAAATAACAAGTGTATAAAATTCACATCCAATTAGACAACACTAGTTATGGTTGCTATGGTAATGGGCTCAGAGCCTATGAGCAGAAAAAAAATAATTCCTTTTGGGCATGATATTTATGAATGTGTCTGGTTACATGGCAAGAGTATTTTCCTTTGGCTTTTCTTTAGAGTAATTTATATATTCAGACAGATGATCCTTTATGCATATAAGTTCTCCCTAGGAAGAAAGAAAGTAAATATGTTAAGTTTTTTATACTGAAAATATCTAGTATGGTTATAACATGGATTTAATTCTCACTTATAAAGGATTTAATTTCAGATAAAAACCACAGCAAGAAATATATATTTCATGATGAGGAGGTGAGTAATGAAATGTACAGTATACACAGACAAATGTTTTTAACCAGAGTTTCGGGCACGTCTGATATTTTAAAGGGCCAGAGGTGGTCACCGGGGGATCCAGGAGCAGCAGTTTGAAATTAAGAGATTAAAAAGCAACAATTGAGGGGCGCCTGGGTGGCTCAGTCGGTTAAGTGACTGCCTTCGGCTCAGGTCATGATCCTGGAGTCCCGGGATCGAGT